CCGGCGCAGGACCATCGGCTTTCCAAAATTTGAACTAGCCAGCGCTTTTTTTGGTATCTCCTAGGGGCCCTGCTGGGTCCTGCTGCTACGATACACTGGTACTGGTGGTACTGCTAGTCTGCTCTAGCGGTAATAGGTAGCGGCAGAGGAATGCATGACAGCTGACGATGCGCTATGTAGGGATGGGAATGGAGATCGGTCGCCTACCTGTCGTTGTACGGGATAGCCTGTCCGATAGCCTGATCGTCTGCAGTCACACGCACACGTTTTTGTATGAGGTACGTTGGGATCCCTACATATGCTGTGTACTATACGCGGAAGACGCCCTTTGCGTTATAGGATGTGCAATCACGCAGCGACAGTACGGTACGGTTCAGAAATAAACGGGATGCGGCAAGACGTCTTGTACACAGGAGTCGAAGTCAGAATATCGGGAAGAACGCCCAAGAATGCCTAGTCAAGGGTTCTCTTGGCTCTGTCAGGTCCGCTTTCCCTCGGGTCCCCAGAATCTCGAATGCCCAGCCTGCAAGACGGATGTTGGCGAGATGCCCGTCTCTTGGCATCTCCTTGCCAAGAGAGCCGCATCTTGGAGAAGCCTTAGAACTACATAACGTGCATATCACGGATACGGGGACCGGCGTCAAGTAAAGCAGATCATAAGACGGAAGACTCGTCGCAGAGGAACTAGTCAGCGATGCGGTCCGCGAATTGCAAGTCGCACTCGCCGTCTCCTACTTCACGCCGCTATGCGATTTCACATCTCAGATGCGCGACATATGCGTGAGATCTTTAGCCCTTGGATAAGCGTGGCGAAGAACGGCCCAGAGCCAAGCGAAATTGGGCTGACTGGAGTAATGGTGAGTGTGACATATTTCCCTTGTTGTATAGCTGAGCCGACGAAGTCCTCGCGAAGTCTTCGATACTTCCTCGAGACTTCCTCATTGGAATGTATCCTACAGCAGTATTCCACCGTCTGTTATCTGTCTTCTGCCTTAGCCAAACCCTCGTGCATTACCCTCCCTTACCGACTGAGTTATAATAATCCCAGGTGATTGGGCTGAGCTATAATAATCAAATACTTGTGAAAGATTTTTTTTTCTTTAGTGGGAGGAAGAGTGGAAGGATGGGGGAGTGGGTGTCATGCGGCATAATAGATGCTGCGAGTGTTTCTGTGTCGGTGTGTGACATGATATATGGTCATTTCTCTTTCGAGCCGTGCGCATCGGGGCTTTATTAGTTTATGGGGGCCAACCTCTCCCACATGCTTGGACCGCCTCCGATGGCCTGCCATATCATGTCATGTCACCCTATGCAAAGCTACCATGCCTACCACTAACTGCCTACCGTCTACGTAGATAGGTACGTACATACAATATACCGTACAGATTATAGTACCAACATCTATGTCATTACATTACATGCGCCTACATTGCCTGGCAGACATATACCGGTAAATAACACGAAGACACTACGTAGGTGGTAATTTCCTTCATGCCGCGTAACCCTCAACGGTGCATGCAAAAAGCTTGTTCCATCTTGGCTATTATCCCGCGACGTTGGACCTGTTTACGCCTTACACGTTCTCCTAGGACGGGAGGCGCTCAGGGGTTGGGGACGGTCGAAGCTTCGGCCTCAGTGTTGCTCGGTGCTACGGTGTCTACATGCCTGAATATCCTCGTTGGGCTTCGCGGCTAGACGTGGCTTTATCGGTTTCTCCTTCTCGCCGACGACGATGTCTTGGATCTCTTCGTGTTTCCTCGATCTTGGGTTCTTCACGGGCCGATAGATGGAAGCGAGGGTGAGTGGGAGGCAGGAGGGCCTAGGCACGGGATATGGATGTGGATGGGACGCAACGGTATTGGTTCGGCGACGGTCCTTCCCGTCGGGATTCTCCGTATGGGCGTAGGGCTATGCAGATGAAAGATGACACCATGAAGGTTCGGATAGAAAATGTCGAGATTTTCCATTGGAGAGGTCCCCGGATCTTGCACGGGCTGGATGATCTCAGGGGAAGTGTTGGAGAAGACCTTAGTGCCGCTCTAGATCACGTTAAGGATTTCGTATGGACGTGATTCCCTTACTTCATCCTCGTGATGCTGGTAAGAGGAACGCGGTGAAGGAAGAATCCCATATGCACCACTACCTCATCGAGGCTACGCCTTCCACCCTAAGATTACCGAAAACACCCGGTGGCGTTCGGGTGATGCCGGATCTTCCGTGCCCGGCCGATTCATTCCGGCTCAGGGGCTTCCTTCCGAGACATCCCGGATCCTCTTTCCCGAAACGAAATGAAAAGGATCGGGCCGGCATGATCAAAATCTCGCGTACGGACCCGGATTACGGAGAATGGTAACGTCAAGTCATAGTTATTTCCGGCTCCGGATCACAAGGTTCTGCCTAGAATTACCCTTTGAGTTCGTATGAACGTCCATGATCATGTTACAACCACCGGAAGTTACTGTATGTGTTGTCTTACCTCCTATCCATCAATGTTAACGCGATTCCCAGATTAAATTGGCTGTAACAGGGTACAAAGAGAGCAATCATCATCAAACAGCTTAACTTGTAGTACTCGTCAAATCCCCCCTCTGAATTTAGCTACACTGTACTATATGATGACTATGCCTATAGATATCTGCTCATGAGCAAAGTCCCAGAAGTTTGCTATGCTCATATTGTCCCAGTGGACTCGTAACTGCCCACGTGTCAAGGGTGAATCAAGGGCCATTTCTACGTATGACACTCGCTGATACACAGCAGTAGTCTTCGTTATTCGTAATATAGGGATCGCAGATCCTTGTTAGAGGCACCGGAGTGACTCTGGTATTATTTATAAACTTATTGATTCGTAGCATGTACTACTGCACCACCGAGTCATTTACAACTACGTGTATTCTATCAGGGTTCTCGTACTAGCAGCTTTGGATAGCCCTACAACTTCCAAAATACGGCTCTTATGTACTGGATTCTCGTCTACCGTTGTAATACGCTCGTTATACAGCCGATGTGTCTGGTTTAACCAGCCGAGTGTGAGCTTCTCGATTCCCGGAATCACCGAGTGGGAAAGGAAAACACGAGTGTTGCTCACTACTTGAGTCAATCTTGCAAGTGCTTTGAATTTCAAGACTACCAGAGTCTAATCAAGGGCAAAAAGTGCAAAAGTTAATGCATCAGCCGCGAATCGAACGCGGGGCCCATCGATGGCAACGATGGATTTTACCACTAAACCACTGATGCGAGTGAGACACCCTGTGGTGAGATTACCAAGGGAGGCGATGTCGAAAGCTCGTGCTAGTTCTCTTAAGTATAATACACCCGCAGAGAGGAACAAGAGGGAGCAGAGTTTTCATCTTAGTCCCAATCAAGGCACTTGGGTGGAGTTGAATAGGGACGGGTGGAGACGGTCCAGAACGAGGGTGTGATGGCGTTCTGTATTCTCGGACTTATGTATGGACTAATACCATTAGAGATCTTTCTCTGATGATTGTCCCTGCTCTATGTGATAGTAGATAACACTGTAATTACTCCTTGACCTCGACATTCTTTGCTAGGGAGAATGAGATGCTATCTGATAGTATCATCCCTGAGGCAGTCCAAGCAGTTTCGCCAAATATCTTAGCGACAGTGTCTACTAGGCAGCCCGATATGAGGTTGCGGAGGACCCTGGTTTCTCTAGCTTGACACTGGATGTTTGCCACCCGCATCATCTTTTGAGCCGCGTGGTATCCACTATGGATCCGACCCATCTCACGAGGTCCGGCCCCGTTTGAAGAGAAAATTTTCTCAACTTCGCACCCTCCTACAGACTTCAACTCCATTTGCAGCACGATAATTCATCCGAGAGCCTTTGGTCTGGTCCCATAGCTCAGTTGGTTAGAGCGTCGTACTAATAATGCGAAGGCCGAGAGTTCGAGCCTCTCTGGGACCATTGGTTCTCCTTTTTGAATTTTGTCAAAATTCTGATCTCAAGTGAGAAGTTCAGCAACGGAATCTTGGTCAAACTTTTTACACCGTGAAGAGCCGTAAGGAATGAGCGCTTCCGATACGCTCCGCAGGGGAGCGGAAACTGGCAAGTGGCTCTTCCAAAGACGTTTTGCCAACCTCATCGGAGTTGAGATATCACCGACACTTATGACCGCTATTCAATACCCTTCCGGTGTCGGTGGCCTATTTGGAAGACATTCGTATTGGATATGCGTATTCGGTGGCGAACGATGCCCATCTTGACTGGCTTTGGGAACTGAAGTGAGTCACTCGGTCAGTATGATTCGACACGATGGCTGAGCTGGCCACGGCTCAGCACGCAGAGTAGGTAAATCACGAGGAAAACCTGACTGGAAATATTTCCATGCATCTCTCAGATACTTCAATGTACTAAGAAGTGGATGCTAGACATCAGCTCATGCCACATCATAGAGAAGACCATGGCCGATCGCAACAAGTATAGCAGATTGACGTCCTTAACTACGTCACCATCTTCCATGTTCTCTTGTCCGGCGTATGAAATGAAAAGAGCTTGGTACTTGCTAAACTTATCGGTATTAGGAGCAGTAGCCGAGGGCGACTCATGATGGAAAATCACAGCGTCGGGTCTTCCATAGGTTCAGCGCTTAGAATAGTTGACTACTAATAAGCAGATGCTTCGAATTCGGGGCAAGCTGTACTCGAATGAATTAATTTGACTACTAGTAAGCATGGTGTAGATACGGCTTGTTCTAAGAAGACGTCGCCTTATACTAGTTAGTGGTAGACTTTCCAAATAGAAGCTTCGAAGCCTATCTCAAGCTTACAAGGAGAAACCCTAGTGAGCCCCTTCCGTCATGCGCTGTAATTGTGATAGATGAATTGCTCTTGGAGTCTTGACCCATCCTGCTTGTGGCTTGTTTGCTGAGTCCCCTCGGCTAAGAGAAGCGCCGCAAACAACTGGAATCGCACCCATAGAGCCTAACAGCAAGCGGCCAGCCAATCGCATGGGTGTAAAATCCCAAGGCACCAATAAAGGCTCAATGGTCTAGTGGTAGGATACTCGCTTCGGGCATTATATCCCATCTCGTAGAATGAGATAATGTGAGTGGTCCCGGGTTCAAATCCCGGTTGAGCCCCAGTTACAACTTTTTGCTTGTCATCCATTTGGTTTGGTGGACCGAGCGGTGAGAAAATCTTTTTGCTTGGCTGGACCGACGGAATCGGATGAACGAGCCGTGCTAATACCGTCCGGACACTGGTTGGGGTCGGTAAATACGGAAGTCCTAATCAGGGTCGATAGGAAGAGAAGATACGACAATATCAAAGATATAGCAGGAAGAGAACGAAAATGTTAAAATGAAAGTCTATCCATAGCTGGCGGGAAGAGTTTTGATCAAATCTTCACCGAAGGGCGGGGACGAATCGTTGATAGAAATAGGGCTACAAAACAGACCTTTACTACTGGCTTCTACTGACATTAGGAGTTTAGAGTCGTCAAAACGATCTCGCTCAATTTCGAATATCCTATCTACTATTTGATCCAATTGCGAGCAAGCAGGCAACGGGGGCGCGGACACTGCAACACCGTACCAATTGAGGATAGCCACTGGGGAAATGCAGGGGTTGAGGAAGCTGGGAAGAAGTTCATCTATATGACGCTGCGAAGGCATATTGGAATGAAGTCTACTTAGCATGTCGTTCCGTATCAGAAATTTCTGCTGATTGAAGCTCTTCATGCAGGCTCAATAAGCTTAACTTGGTCTTTCACAGCTCTCCCAATAAATAAGGTAGGTATGTAAATCGGATAAGAGACAGGCATGTAGAAAGTTAGACTTGAATATAACAACCAGAACGAGAAGCCCCAACTTTATCCAAATCGATCCAGTAAGGAAACCCAGCGTTGCTCATAGACCTTACCTACTCGAATACGCCGTGCCTTCAACCTGCCCCTTTCTTCAACATCGATTCGCCTTCCTCCCCTCATCTTCCCATCGCCTGAGCCCCTGAGCCAAACTGTCCACCAGTCCCCTTGCCCAGTCAGCTACTTCTCCAAACCTTTCATTCTCAGCATCTTCATCAAAACTGACCCTCCCATGCCACCAATCCAGCCACCGCTCCGCCCGCGCGCCCTCAGGGGCGTCAAGCAGCCCAACACTCACATCGACGAGATCCGGCCGCCAGCGATCGTGCCAGAAAACAGTGGCGCCACATCGCGGGCAGAACTCGCGCAGGACGCCGGGGGAGCTCTCATAGCTCTGGAGAATACCTGGCGGAAGGGTGGTAAAGTCGAGCGGGATAGTACCAGACAAGGAAGGCGGGGAAGAGGGGGGAGGCGGTGGAGAAGTAGAAGCTGACGGCGGAGGGGAAGGGGGGAGGAAGAAGATATTGCTCCGCGGCACAAACGCCCACGTCTGGATCTCGAAGCCGGAGACCAGGCGGCAGGAGCGGCAGGTACAGGTACCGGCCAGATACTTAGTTGGGCTCGGGTCGCCCTGTGGACAGAGCCACCATTTTTCCTTTTGTGGGTTGGTGATTACCTCCCGCGGCGAGGTTTTGAAAGGGATCATCAGATCTGGGAAGCCGGAGTGCGGGAGTCGGCTTGAGGCGTCGGGGCGCGTGATGTGGAAGCGCACGTTTTTGCAGTGGCAATGTGCTTGTAACATCTCTTCACTTTCTTCGTCGTTGGTAGAGCTCGTTGGATGAAGTGGCGATGTTGTCCCATGGCCACGCCTTTCCAACTCGCTCGGCTCTTCGGCGCTGTCTATGTCTATAAAGGGGGATAGACCGCCGTCTTTAGTTCCGGTAGTATGAAGGTGTCTGGCATGCTTTAGAAGTGGTCCATTGCTATCGTGCTCCTGTTCGGCATGCTCATCTTTAGCTCCAGCCCGCCCGATGATGATACCCGTAGCTACAGCCCACAGTCCATCAGGCCCTTCATTGCCATTGTTGGAACGACGTTCGTACCGAAAGATCTGACAGCCGCAGGTATTGCAGAAGTAGCGATTGAGACCAGCTGTAGAAGATGAAGGCGAGGACTCATTAGGGTATATTCTAAGACCACTAAGGGACGGGGGCGTAGATATAGGCGCATAGGAGACGCATAGCAAGCCACTGGTATGGCGGCACGCATGGCAATGGCAGAGGTTTATGTCCAGCGGAACCGGCGTCGCTTGTGTTCCTGGAGAATACAGAGTTACCGTCTGCTTCGCGGCGCCGCAGTGGCAGGATATCAGGACTTCAGTGTTCTGCGACATCGAGACGAAAGGAATTCTACACAACTGGATTGAATCAGGCTGCCTAGTATTCTTCGGCTGCTCCAGGCGTCCCTTAAAGTATGGCTAGTTTCTTAATGGCAGATAGAACACCCCCGCATATTTACGAACCTGCTGAACGAAGCAGGACCATCCTACGTATATCTGAATGCCTAGACTGAACTGTCGCGACTAGGAACCTGGACTACCTATACACCTACTGTTCCATGCGGCGGAGCCTCGGGCCGTCGAAAGCTGGTCACAAGTCATTCCTATTGGGGATCTAGACAACCATGGCGCATACACACCTCGCATTGTCCCGGGCTTCTCCCGGACTTCTCCCGAATCGAAGGCGTATCAGAATAGTGGAAATCTTCAGATTAAAGGAAATAGGTAGCGATCAGCAATTGTAACTGACATGTAGTTTTTAAGTCTCTGCAAGACCCTCTCTTGACTTATTTTTTTGTTGCATTCCGCATTCCCCAAGTTTTTGCCCCTCCGTGATCTTCATTAGTATGGTGATATACATGAGCCCAGCAGACACGCCGTCCGGAACCGCCAGATGCTTTACATTCAGAAAGAATCAACACCAGTGGAGATTTTCTTCATCATGATCCTACAATGCGATGAGACGCGAAGTCAGATTAGGGGCGGGTGTGATGGGTCGAGATGTTTAAACTGTCGCCTCGTTGCCCTCGCTAGCAGGCTTAGGAACCGACCTCTCGGCTTCTTTCTCGCCGTCTTTGCTCGAGGATGCATCCTTGGGGATGGGGTCATCCTTAACCAACTTCTTAGTCTCCTGGTTTGCTCCCTCAACGTCAGGATGAGGCGGCGCCACGCCGGCGGCGGCTAGCTCTTCTACTGGCACTTCGACCTCGTTGCCGTTGGCGTCGATTACGCGCGTCCTCGTTTCGTACCTGGTTTTGAATTCGACCTTGCCTTCGAGCGCCTTGACCTGCTCTTCGTTGAGAATATTGCCGTCCTGGTCTCGGTACTCGACCCGCTCCTCTCGCCCGATCACTTTTTGACCCTGGGGCTCGAACTTTGGGGCCCCCGAGATGCCCGCATTTGGGGCATCCTGGTTGTTTCCAACTGGGGGTTGTTGAACTGGTGGCTGCTTGTTACCTGCGGGCTGAGGAGTCTGGGAGAAGCTTGGAGTCGCGCCAAGGGACGAGTATGCGTCGTACTATATAAGCAACTGGTTAGCCTATAGTCTATTTGAGATTCGGTAAACCCCTTTATATGCACTTTATATCCGTACTAAATAGTCCAAATAGGGACAGAAACATACGTGCGTCATCTAAATTTAACCTCGCCCTCTCGACGGCATTCCTTGGGGAGGGATACTCACGCTCTCTAAGAAAGTATTGCAGTCCCAATCCCAGGTGTTGAACAGCTTTACGCGGTTGCATTCAGCCTTGGTCCAGGCATTTCCGTACGCAAGGGGGGAGTATAGCGCAAAGACCACAGCGGAAATAGCCAAGAGTGCAATAACGCCGGCCTTGTTGATAATGGGGTTTTCTCTGACACCTGGGACCGCAATTCGAGCTGTCACGAAGTCATATATCTGGCAGAATGCCATGATGGCGAAGATCAACGCGGGGAAGTAGTGGTGTAAGAAGAGCTGACGCTGCATCAAGAAGAAAGGGAAGTAGTGCAGGGCCCATCCGAGAACGGAAGTTCCGATCTCATAGTCGAATCGCTTGAAGTTGACGTTCGAGTAGTCGTTGCAGCTGCGTTGCCATCGAAGGACCGCAATGCCCTTGAAGAGCACGTAAATAACGACAGCAAGAGTCGCAGTGTACCAGATGATAGGGTTGCCCATCAGGTAGATCTGGCGGTGATCCTTGCCCCAGAAGTTGATGCCACGACGAAGAATTGGCCAAGACTCGGGACGGGAATCCCAGGCGTGGGACTCGACCAAGCCTGCGTTTGTCCTCCACATGACTTTCTGCAGTTCCCAGAATTTGCCAAAGAATCCGGGGTTGACATAGTTCACCTTCTCGGCATCCGCAGGTAGCGCGGGGTGCGCGTTGGACTCGATGTACCACAAACTGTTGGGAAGAGTACCGCCTTTTGCGCAAGTTACTTCTTGCTGTTCGGATGCCCACTCCGGCAACTTGACCTTGTGAGAAAAGAGGACACAGCCAGTCATGATATGAACAAGTCTAAACTTGGTCTGAATGGTACGAAGACGCTCCTTGGCAATAGGTCCAAGAGACTGTTTCTTCACGATTTCGACACGGAATAGATCATTGGCATCGCCAGCGAATCCTTCATATCCGTAGGCGGATACTTCGTTCTGCCAATCAGCCTCAGTGATAGGAGGTCGAACATCATGAGAGTGGATGCGGCGGTGAGTAGCCAGGTGGTATAGTCGGATCACATCACCATCCTTAACATAGTTCTCGGTTATGTTCTTCACGTTGTCCCAAGCATGAGTTCCGTTGATAGGCTCGCCGTTAGGACCCAACGGCTGAGTCTGGTTCTCAACCAAGAAGATGTTGTTGTCGTCCTTGTGGGGATAGAGGGTGACTTGCTGTTGCTGACTGCCAGTTGGGTACATCAAGGGGTGCGAGTGAAGGTAGCCTCCTTGAGTATTGACATGTCGGATGGTGATGCGGCTGCCGAACGCGATGTCGACCGGCACATCTTGCATGCCCTTGTTGTTCAAGGTAGCCTGGAACTCAGAGCTCATGAATCCATCACCATCGCCGGGGTTCACCAAGCAGAGGAAGTGGATACCGAACATGGCCATATAGAAGGTGGCCGGGATAATGATTAAGCAGAAGGCGCGGGCTAGGAAGTGCTTCGCAAAGATGCGCATGGTAACCGTCTTGGTGTCGCCGAGTAATACCCATAGTTGTACGAGAGTCAAGATTCCA